GCTCGCCTACACTGCTGTCTAAGAGCGCGAGTTTGTTCATTAGACCAAGGCTGATAATTAACCTTACTGTACCTAGTCTTATATGGAGCAACAGAGTCTAATACTCCAGAACACACCGAATTAAAAACCTTAAGTAATTTATCTGGATCAGCCGTAATAGTTACAGACTCCAGCCATGATACAGCAGAAAGATTGCTGAAAATATCGCCAAACGCCTGAGGTGTAGACTGGGAGATAATACGGGAACGTAAGCAAGAAAGCTGATCCTCCACCCTTTCAATTTGCATACTTACATTAAAGGTAATAGGCTTGTGATCTGAAATACAGTCATCATTTACAACAACATCACAGATAGACAGACCTAAGGAAAAAACAAGGTCCAACGTATGTCCTTTTTCATGTGTAGGACCAAAAACATGTTGTATAAAATTAAATGAGTCCATCAGATCAGAAAACTCCCTCTCCAACGGCTTCCCAGGGCAGCAAATATGAATATTGAAATCCCCAACAAGTAAGATATGATCAGACAATAATAAGATAGTAGATAAGAACTCAGAAAATTCCTGAATAAAAACTTGGCTATACTTTGGAGGTCGATAAACAACTATTCCCAATACAGACTTATAAAACTCAAGTCTTATCAACTGAACCTCGAAGCTCGAGTAACAAGCGGTCGATAAACGGTGACATTTATACTGTTGTTTACAAACAGTAGCTAATCCCCCACCACGACCCATTGGTCTCGGTGTATTAATTAAAATGAAATCAGGAGGACAAATTTCCCCACATGAGCTCCACTCTTCACCATTTATCCATGTTTCTGTAATAAATAGGAAGTCCAAAACATTCTGCAATATAAAATCATTTAAAATGAATGTCTTGTTAGAAATCGAGCGCGCATTTACAAGCGACATCTGTAAAGTCTGTAAGACCGTTTGGGTCGCTGTATTTGCCGTCTTAGGATAGATCATGACTGTCGTCATGTCTCTCTCTGTCTGTCTGTCTCTCTGTCTGTCTTCATGTCTCTCTCTCTCTGTCTGTCTCCAAGTCTCTCTCTCTCTGTCTGTCTCCAAGTCTCTCTCTGTCTGTCTCTCTGTCTGTCTCAATTCTCTCTCTGTCTGTCTCCAATTCTCTCTCTGTCTGTCTCCAAGTCTCTCTCTGTCTGTCTCCATGTCTCTCTCTCTGTCTGTCTCCAAGTCTCTCTCTGTCTGTCTTCATGTCTCTCGCTCTCTGTCTGTCTTCATGTCTCTCTCTGTCTGTCTCTCTGTCTGTCTCCAAGTCTCTCTCTGTCTGTCTGTCTCTCTATCTGTCTTCATGTCTCTCTCTCTCTGTCTGTCTCCAAGTCTCTCTCTCTCTGTCTGTCTCTCTGTCTGTCTCCAAGTCTCTCTCTCTCTGTCTCTCTCTATCTCACTGTATCTCTCTATCTGTATCTCTATCTGTCTGTCTCTCTCTTTCTCTGTTTCCATCTTTCTCCCTCTGTCTGTTTCTCCTTGCATTTACTACCTAAGTTTCATATAGGCACATAGAGTACTAATACCTCAATGAAACCTGCCTCTTCAATGCTCAGTGTAGCCAGATTTCTCTACCGTACCGGACTTGTGGCTGACTGCTGCGTGGAAACTGCAGAAAGTTTCTCTGGCAATGTCAAATCTCTATGTCAGGGTATTTGCACATCTTACATTTTATTAATAGAATCAGGTTTTCATGCTCATTAATTGTGCACACTGTACAGTTTATGTCATAGTATTGTGTAAATTTAAAAAATATATATTTTTGGTTCATTTTGAACACATGCAATCTGACTCCTCATAGCCTTTTCCTGGGCACTAAGGAGGCTTTTGGTCACTGAGTAAACAAGGAGATTAAGACAACTGATGGGCTCCTGTCTTTTTGTTCAGCTCTGTTTTGAACCCTTGGCTTTGTCTGCCTGGCTCCGGCATCCCCGCACAGTGCAATACCCCCATCCAATCAGACACCCCTCTACACAACCTACTCCCATCACCAAAAATGCAGAGTTCCTCTGCCCTGTCACATCTGTGATACTTAAGACTTACCTAAAACTTGTAGCGCCAAGACATGTCAGATTACTGGGCAACCCAGGACGATAACCCCCCGCCCACCCCAGCAACTGGCATGGGTCCAATACCTGCTAGCCTCGTAATCATTCATGACCTTTTCTTAATGATTAATGACCTTTCTGTAATGATTAAAAAACAGCAAGCAGGAGCGACAGACACAAAGTGCCAAGTCATGCAGCTGCAGTAGGACCTTGCTTAACCCAATGCGGATGAAACTAGCAGAGGGGCGTAGGTCCGAGATAAAAATAACAACAACCTCACCTGCTGTACTTTTCAAGGACAAATAGAAAGTTGATTTCCATGGCGTGCAAAAAAACATGGATCCGGTATGCTTTTTGCACATATTAACTCAAACGCGGATGGTGCGCACTCTTGTCAAAGCCAACCAAGTTCATAAAGGACCTGAGATGGGCAGGTGACACCTGAGGAGTAAGTGACACTCTCCTTTTGCTTGACCCATCCTCTCTGTCCTCCCTGCTCCAATGACAGGCTACTGGGGGCCTTTCAGTCAGGGTTCAATTTGAACCCTTGTTGGATATTTGTTTCTGTGACTCCATATGCGTGTTTGTTTCCGTGACTCTGAATGGATATTTGTTTCTGTGACTCCATATGCGTGTTTGTTTCCGTGACTCTGAATGGACATTTGTTACTGTGACACCGTATGCGTGTTTGTTTCTGTGACTCTGAATGGACATTTGTTACTGTGACACCGTATGCGTGTTTGTTTCTGTGACTCTGAATGGACATTTGTTACTGTGACTCCATATGCGTGTTTGTTTCTGTGACTCTGAATGGACATTTGTTTCTGTGACTCCGTATGCGTGTTTGTTTCTGTGACTCTGTACGCATGTTTTTAAGTAATTCTGTATGCATGTTTGTTTCGGTGACTCCCTATGTGTGTTTGTTTCTGTGACGCTGTCTTCATCACGATGTCCCCACTTTGATTTTCTTCCTCCACTGAGTTTCCTGATGGTGCAGATGAGACAAAGGTGGAGCAAAGTATGGTGGAGCAAAGTATGAGTCTGAGGCTCATCTGAGGAGTCTGGTGAAAATCACATTAGCTGTGATTCCTGCAGCAAGCACCAGGAGCATGCAGAAGGTCGCCAGGCTCCTGCGCAGCACCAACTGCTGGATGGACAGCGGCTGGCCCTCCTTTCCGAGGGCTGCCTTCTCTGAACTCAGCTCATCCACTTCGACGTCATGAGCCTCCTTGGGACTGGTCTCCTCCGACATGACTTCCATGGCCACAGCTAGCAGACATGAATAAATGGATCAAGGTGTCACATCCTCAGGCTCCACCACCTCGCAATACAGTCTCGTAATAATAACAACAATATATTATTTATTGGTCACTGTGGGGACATTCCCTTTACACCTCCCCCAACTTGCTCTCTGTAGGTGAGAGGAAGCTGGCCAGGATGGGCAGCCACTCATAGCAGCTCCCAGGGAGCTTAGGGTTACGAGCCTAGCTTAAGGACCCACAGATGTTCCGAGGCTGGGCTTGAACCAACAACCTACCGATCACAGGCACAGAGGCTTGGCCCACTGAGCCGCACAGCTGTGCATGATGCTACACAAAGCAACATTCTGTGGGTGTGGTTTAGGTTATGTGGGTGGGACTTGGTCCACACGTGGATTGGCATAAAATATATAGGAGGAGCTTAACTAGGTAGGATCTGTATGGGTTTAGATTCTGTAATGAGATTGATGACAACACGGCTGCCCAACCCTGCTCCTGAAGGTCTACCACACTGCAGAACTTAGACGTAGCCCTAATTTAACACATCTCAGCATTTGAGCCAGCTATGTTGAACCTAATAACCTGTTGTTCTAATACTGAGATATTACTGAAGGGCCTGATTATCTGCATTAGGTGTGCTAAATTAGGGCTGCATCTCTCCAGGAGCAGGGTTGGGCAGCCCTGGATTGGAATGCATGGCTGGATCTTCTTATGGGTGGGACTTACATTTTATGGGAGAGGTTCACAAAGTGGTCTTACCTTGGATGGAGTCTTGCTTTTCCAAAGCAGTGCCCTCAACTGTTGCACAGTTTGTCTTCACACCTGACCGGATGAGTGCCTGTGGAAACGTGACAGAGCCAGATCAGTTCTGGAGATTACTTCTGCCGCTAATTAAGAGGAAAATCAGAACATGGCACTGTCCCCCCTGCATGATATACTGATGGTGGATGTTGAATATAAAGTTTTGACCTCTTCCATTGCCTTCTTCCAGTCCATTTTCATGAGAAGGATAATGAAGAAAGCGCATTGTAGCAAGACACAGGTGAAGAAGCCCGTCCACAGCCCTGGGGGACAAGGGCAGAGCAGACGGTACACAGGGGTATAATGCAAAAGTCAGGCAGTGGTTGGATGGCACTCAGGAGGAGGGAGATGATTGGATGAGACAGGCATGGAGAGACAATGACCTGCCTGTTGGCATCTGCCCTGGCACACTTGCCCTAGTCTCCATCGTCCATGATAAAGACATTATTTACAATTTACGGTCATATCTGTCAGTGGTATTTTTTTCCACTGGATTAGCTGTGGAATTTTTTGTCTTACCAATATTGACATTTTGGGTTTTCCTCTTATACTGTAAACCAGTGTTTCCCAGCCCAGTCCTTGGGGACCCCCAGGCGGTCCACGTTTTAGCTCTGGTTGCTGGGAGGGAGCAAAAATGTGGATGGTCTGGGGGTCCCCCAGGACTGGGTTGGGAAACACTGCTGTAAATGCATGTAAAGGACTTTGAAATAAAAATGACTGATTGATTTGATGAGACTCACAAAGGAGTAGACAATGAATGAATAGGGTGGGGCAAGATAAATTAAGTGATCATATACGAGAGGAAGAGAGAACAAACTTCTTGCTGTTTTAGTAAAACTCCCCCACCATTTCCTTCACTTCAGCCCCGTTCCTTACCAATAATTCCCATCTTGGCGACGAACATGAGTGTCACGCCAATGGGGAAGCCAATTAGGTAGTATCCCACGAGGTTACACAGCGCACCAATCACCTGTTTGCCCACACCCCTCACGATGCCCCCTGTCACACTCTGAAAAGAACACACCATTGTGAAAGTCACACTAATTACACTAATTAATGGGAGAGAGATGCTACACACATTTTACATGACTTTTGGAAGACTAGCAGAGAATGACCTTTGACTGAATGACCTTTGACTTTAGACTGGTTGCTATGGGGAGCAGGCTGGACTAATCAAACACTAATTATAGTAATTATAAAGTAATTAGAAATCTGATGGAAGTATGTAAATGCCCACATCACACCCGTGTTTTGACCTCCATACCACTTCATCTTTCCGTTTATGCCTGTCAACTCCAAGGTCTTTTGTTTTTGAGTGACTGGAAGCTTGTTCTAACTACACAGAAGAACAATGAGAATCAAGTATCTGAAGTGAGGCGTCCTCACCGCTACGGCATCGAAGATGTGGAAAAAGCCATACATGAGCATCACCTCCGAGACCCGGGTAACAATCTCCCTATGGGACAAGGAAGAGGATTAGGACAAGAGGAAGAGCTGGAAAAAAATCTCTGAATGTGATGCTCATTCAGTTCTTGGTATTCATTCTCTAATAGACATAGTAACACAGATTTAGCAGTTAGCATTTACTGTACGTGACTTATAGTAATTTTACACCATTTCATCAAATTGTACAACAGACATTTTACTTCAGAAATTCTGGTTAAATAAGGATACAACTTCACCTGGACATTGCTGTCAGGATGTCCTAATGTTCTGACACTAACTTGGCATATTCAAGCGATGGTTAAATAGTTTTCTACCCTGGTGCATTTTAGAAGACTTTGGATTGGCGTGAATGAGGTACAGTCCGTTAGTGTGCGGAAGCCATCAACTCAACATTAATACATCACAGTTTAGAGAATTGAGGTTGTTTTCACGACACGCTTAAGGATACATAATGAGTCAGGGACTATCCTGATGGTGGGTCAAGGGCCCGTCTGCTTGCTGCTGTTATGTAACAGGGTAAAAGGCAGGGGAGGGGCCGGGACAACAGGCCGAAAAACCAGTGAGGCTGAGAGATGATGCAACACCGAGCACAGGAGGTGAAAATAATGGCTGGCTTGCTGCCCGTCGTGTGCCATGGCAATCGAAGGACAGACTGCCCTCCGCAATGAAATCTGAGCCTGATGCCTAGAGGAGCAGCGAAGAGACACAGGGCCACTCACCTGTCCGTCGTGAACATGTACGCGATCACGTCCTTCGAGGAGCCGATGGCTACTGCCACAAAGCACGAGACGAAAACTGCAACCAGGGAGACAGAGCTCTTATACTCCAATCTCACGCACTTACTGCAGCAACATATTTACTACACATTAGTACATAGAATAATGTGCATACAGAGCATTACACTTCATAAATTTTCTAACCTCACCCTGGGTCACTGTACTGAAGGATTGATTATAACTTTTGGGAGAGCTTGTCTTAAGTCATCAGGTATTTTAAGGAATTTGCAATACATAAATAAATCCTCCCAAACCATTGTACTCCCTCTTCCTGCCCATTCAAGGACCAAGGATTTTTATTTGACATTGTGGGCTACACAAGTACAACAAAATTAAGTAACTGTATCTGTAATCACATAAATAACTATACTATACTATACTATACTATACTATACTATACACACATAGGACATACAAATATTTATCTGTGGGAATTCCCCACATCTCTCACCTGCACACATCAGTGACACCTTGCCGGACAGTTTGGCTTGTTCCGGATTCCTGGCCCCCAGGGCGTTCCCTACCCGGACACTGGCAGCCACCGCAAAGCCTAAGGGGAACTGAAAGCATAAGCTACTGAATTAGAAGATTCCAGACTGTTCTTAGATCACAATTCTTGCTGGGCATGTAAGCATCAATCCTGCAGTTCAATAAAACACCTATATCAATTCTCCATAAAATTCCATGCCTTGTATTTATCCTGTATTTCACCAGTTGAGACATTATAATTCACATCTGTAATCTGTACTCCTGAAAGAGGACATCAATCATGTGTAACTTCTGCTGGCGTTTGTCTGTTACAACCACAAATGAATTTTATAAGACTCAAGTCAGCTCATTTGCTCAGAACAAGCTTACTCAAGGGGAACCAAATAAATGCTATTTGAAGCACAAATTGTGACATATTTTCACGAGATTCTTTGTCGACACAAAAACTCCAGGCAGCATCATCTCCTACCACCTTCTTTCTCATTCACTCACTTGATTACTCATTTGTCATACCTGATTCCTCAGCTCTCCCAGAAATGGGCATCTGCACTACTTGACTCTAAGCTGCAAAATCTCTATTTCCCATTGCAGTGGGGCATCATGGGAAAACTCACCATATAGGCGATGGTTGACAGTTCATAGATCACAGATTGTGCGCCAAGTTCAACTTCACTTATCAGACCTGCAGCCAAAAGAGATTCATCTAATGTAAAAATAAATCACACGACACATGCAGCACAACCATAAATAACTGTGTAATTTCATTTACACAAAATCACATTAATAGATTGACAATGACAAAGTATTGAGGTTAAAGCAAAACTTTGGTAGAAGGATGCATCAGCAAGCAAGATATGTTACTAAAACACAAGAGAACAAAATCACAGCAAATGATTCGTCAGAAAATCATCCAATTGAGCTAGATGTTGCAACAACTTAGGAGGCAGAAGACCAAAGCCCCACAAGAAAAGCCAGAGGCATTGAGCAGATGATGTTAGAAGAGGCAGATGGCGAATCTGAGGGATAAACACAGTCAGTGTATTATGATGCCTGTCATATTACTGCCAAGGCATCACCTCACTCCCTGAATCCATTCTCAACAAAAGTCATGCTACATCCAGGTCTATGGGAGCCAGTGCCACCCGGTGGAACGACCTCTGACCTGCCAGGAATCCTCCAATCTCATAGGTCCACCACTCAAGACACAACATAAGCATGCTGGGAATGGCAAGGTGGATGAAGGGGCCCCATTCTTGCAGGCATTCCATGGACCAGCCTGTGGGCAGCAGACGATGGGAGTAGTTAGAGGTTCTCAAAGTTTCCAGATAGATCACCATGGGGGAAGGGGGGGGGGTTCTGATGTTGTGCCTTTAACCTGAACCACCCCAGTAACTGCTATGTGTGAGTAATTTAATTTGTCTTTAACCTGATGGCAGCCCCAAACCCAATAGCAACAAAGTGTGCATTTGGTACCAAGTTTACTTTTTTTGCACCTTCCTCTATTCCATCTCTTTATTTTTTTTGATGTGATGATGCAATTGTTGCCTGGTGCCCTGTACCCCTCGAAAGCAAGACCCCTGACCAGAGGTGGACATTTCTGGTCCAGAAAGTACAAATCCAGAACAAGATTTTGTTTCAACCAACCAGTTAAGTATAAAGAGTCACAGTCACAGAGTACTCAACTGGTTGGTTGAAACAAAATCTTGGTCTGGATTTGTACTTTCTGGACCAGAAATGTCCACCTCTGCCCCTGACCTAATACATCTGTCATTCCAATGTCACATACTGTATTGTTCTGTACCTCTTTAATCCCCCCAAAGGACCCCTGTCCCAGCCACTCTGCCCTCACCTCTCCATGTGGCTTTGTGTAGACCCTTCCACCAGATGTAGATGAACAGGAATACAGCCAGGGAGTACTGGGAGATAGAGTTGGCTGCAGCTGACCCGCTGTGGATAAGTAGGGTGTGAAAACTTCTGCTTCTGCTAGCCTCTTTGATTCAGTTTCTTACAGGCAGTGGGACAAAATGAGCACATGTGTAACGTCCCCGAGTTCCCTGACCTCAGAGAACCTTGACAAGATCATTTGGAGCACTGAAGCCAGGCACTAAGAGGGATGGCTGAGGGTGGTGAAACTGGAGAATTCCCTTCATGTCGAATGTGCTGCATCTCTCCACACTTTTGTAGTATATTAAGAATGTGATTAAACCCAACGTCAAGATTCTCTTTCCCTGCAAGTTCTGCAAACCCGTGTAGAGGGTGGAGCTGGTGTGTTACTTGAGTGACAGGTGCCCGTCTATCTGCCTCTTTAGGTGGTACTCACGCCACTCCCAGGTGCAGTATATACAGGAAGACATAGTTGATTATGGCATTCAGCGCATTTCCTGCCGCGCCTGTTATGACCTGTGGCCATATTATACCCTGGAGGCCAAACAGGTTTTTGTTAAGCCAACAGCGCTGATGTCATTTTTTCCATTTTTGGTAATGCCGAGTGTGCAGGCACCTCACCTGATTCTGGAGATACCGACACTGCAACTGGTACATGAAAGCTGCCTGTGGAGAAGGTAGAGACATGGTTTGAAAAGGTCTGAGGCACCTGCAGGCTCACGCCTCAACATTGAATCAGTCACAAAGAAACCGGAAGATTCAACTTACAGGCAGGGCAGGCATGAAGATCTTCACGTACAGCTGAGATAGCCTGTTGGAGGTACAGAACAGAAGATAAGGTCTTCGGTCTCTACCAAATGAGATGCATGATTGTATTGGTTTTTTCTAAGCAAATGTCCTTGTATAACCATTGTGTTTGCACTTTATTGCAGGCAGACCAGTAAAATTTTCCATCAATCTATTTTCAGTAAGCTATTTATCCAATCTGTGAAGCAGATATCATCTGTGAAGCAGAACATCCATACATTCACACAGCTTAAGTAAAACCTTCAACAGAACATGGCCATTGCGGGAGCTGATGGACATGCACACATAAATGGGGAGGACATGATACATAAGGCACAAGCTACTGCCAGATCAGCATCAGAACCATGTATGATGGTGCTAAAGGGATTCCCTCATGGAAACGCTGGAGGGATTTCAGTTCCAAGCTTGGTTCCCACAAGATGGCCTTTCACTGATGGTAGGATAACTCACCTGGCCACCTCGGGATTTTGACGCACAGCCAGCAGGAGGGGCTCCGTGTTGATGAGCACTGCCCAACATGGGAAGCAGGCCAACAGCAAGATCAGAATCCCTCGCTGAAGGATCACGCCTATACGCTTTAGGTTGTTGCTGCCGAACGTCTGCGTAGAGGGGATAACATGAGCCAGAGGTGCAGACGTCACACAACTCTCCCAAAACTGCTTTTTGGTTACATCTGGCATCAACAGTAGTACATACAGCATCAATGAACCCTTGCAGGGAAATTTTTAGGTCCTCACTTTAGTCAGATCCCCTGATATTAAATAGCAAAGGGGGATAAGTTAGGCATCACTTTCCCTTTGCCCCTCTAGTATCTCCCTCAACATCTACCCAAGAATGGGAGCAAAGCAAAAATTCTCTTCTAGAGGTGGGGGACCCTGCATATGGCACAGATTCCACACAGGCCCCCAAACCTCACAATGACCTCCAGGAAGTATTATAGGAAGCTGGATTGGAGGCCCCGCCTTTCCAGTTCCTAGCCCCACCCACCTGAGATATGAGCGTGTCACAGGCAGATGCTAGTCCAGAACCAATGGAAATGCCAGTGACGTTGATCACCTAAAAAAAAAAGGCAGTGAGACGTGTGTAAATTCATAAAAAAACAATACAATTCTTAAATTTCAGTTGAAAGAATTCCTTCAGTCAAACTAGGGACCATTCTGTACAGATCTATGGCAGTGTAGGTATACAGTAACCCTTAGGGTGCATCTGAAATCACATACTTGTTTGCTATGTAGTGTGCAAAGTGTAGTGTGCAAAGTGAGCATCATGTCTGAATCCTCAGTATAGATGAGACCGTAGGTTAATGGTACCCAGATGACATACTACTTTGTGCAAAGTACCTAAGTATGCAATCGATGGACGCTACGCTATCCCACAAAGCCAATGGAGCTATAACCAGAGATAGAGAATGTCACTCAGTCAGAAATTTAAGTCAGGATGGCAAAGGAACTGCCATATGTACAAAAATAAGTATATAACAATATCCAGTTACATAAGTTGACTTGATTATGTATTTTTTCATTGAAAGTTTTTAACAAGCTATGTCATTGGTAAACATCAGGTAATATGTGAGATGGAGAACACAGTATGTCCGAGTGCATGCATTCTGTTCTCACAAATACTTACAGTATATACAGTACTGCATTAACAGTCGAGTAGTAGGCTTCTAACAAAATTCAGTACATACTGAGTAAGCATGTGATTTTGTATGCAATCTTAGTCTGAGGGCATCACCATGGTGTGAAACAAACTTTAAAGGGTTCAGTAAGAAAAAAAATCAAGATAAAATGGCAAGATAAAGTAGTAAGTTCATTGTAAGAATGTGAGCTAACAAAGAGAAAACTACCAGCTTATTGAGGTGAAACAAATCCTGGCTCATCAGTTACCAAGGCCAAAGGGAAGGCGTGCGAGCCTTGAATCCTCACACCGGCTTTATTATAGACTTGCTAGAAATTTTATGGACAAAGTCAGGGGCTATAGGGCTAATAAAATGCCATGTGTCGTGCTTGCGGGGCAAGCGAGCCGTGGAAGCAGGCGAGAGCAGGCAGATGGACGAGTATTCAGGGGTTTATTAAACAATAGACGAACAAGCAGAGACATCCACTGACACTACACTGACAATACAATGACGGATCTGGGGAAGACTGACTCAGACGAGGACTAAATACAAAAGACAAGCTAGACATAACAGGACTCAGGTGATCACAATCAGGGCTGAACACGAGGTAACGAGGTGGGCGTGGCACACATCAGGAGCGGACGGAGCGGATCATGACATCATGTAGTAATGCTGTACTTTGCAATCTAATCTATGTGAAAAGACTCACAATATGGAAAATAGCAACACCTTCACTACATCTACAGTATATCATTCAAGGTGATTAGGCCCTGGATAGGGTCAATAAACCAGAAAGGACCCCTTCCTCTACTTTTAATAACAGTTTTTGTTAATCCATCTCATATCCACTTATCCCGTTCAGCAGGGATGTAATCGAGGGGACCCCCCCAGCCCCCACCTGCACCACGGAAAGTCTCTGCACGACCCTGCTGATCAGGGTCAGGGGGTTGGGGTACACCCTGGATGGCATGCAGGGGCGTTGCTAGAGATTTTGGGCCCCATGAAAGCATATCATATTAGGCCCCCCAGTCCAAACCAATCCAGTTATTTTCCTAATTTTTTAGGGCCCCTGTCACTCAGGGGCCCTTGGAATCGTCCTAGCTTTCCTCCCCCTTACTGCGCCCCTGATGGCATGTAACAATTTTATGCGAATTTGCATCAAGTATCCTTCAAAGGAGATTTTCCAGAATATGTACAATACTGAGGATCATCAAAAATGTCAAACGTATGGAAATGTTGCCACAATTTACCACTGTTGTAATCTCGAGCAGCGTCCCAGTGAAATGGCAAATTAGACAGGATTAACTGGAAATTATTGACGTATTTAAGAAACTAGGATCCTCGGATTTCTTGGTCGATTACCAATCCCAGTCAGTTAGTAGGAAATGCTTCCCTCACAACTCTGCCATATTTAAACAGGTTAGCATAAAAACTCGCGAACCATGGAAGTCTGAAAAAAGTATGTCAAAGAAAGGCGACTTACGGCGATGGCAAGAGCCACCCCTGCCAGCTCCATCTTCCCCAGGTGGCCGCAGAACACCGTGCTGACAATGCTTATTAGGAAGACCATCAGTTGAGAGATGAACTGCGGTCAAGCCGGGAGACGCAAGCATTAGCAACTTCCTGCCTATTCGATATTTCAGACTAAGTGCCGTTTGACTTTAAAGCGCGGTGTATTTGTGGTGTACAATCAACACTTTATTTGACTGATTGAACTGCACGTGCAAGACAGGACACCTCTGACCAAGGAACCAATTCATTCAGCGCAAGTTTAAAAACTACAGACACTTCAGGATTATTATGAGTTCAGCAAATAATTTTTCAGTCTGTTGCTTACGGCATCCCGTTTAAAGGCATTTCTTAATAATTAAAATTTCAGTGTAAAACTGTGAAGGTGTGAATTAAATATAAAAATCAGATTCATTCTACGTTTATAAATAAAGGAGGTTAAACTTCCAGGCGGGGGATGTACGTCAGAAATCTCACCACGGGTCCAGCTAATTTTACAATTTGAATGACCTCTTCTTTGTAGTTAACCGGAATCCAGCTACACGCCAGTCGACAGCAGGCACCGCACAAAGCCCGAGAGTTCGCCCCGGGCTCGGTCTCAGGGACCCTGTCGCATTTAACGTCTCCATTCGCCTCCTCCATGTCCACCTGCTGCATTTATACAGTGCCTTGAGACAGTTTGCCGCAGTGTCCGGTCCGCTCCGGTCGCCCTTCTCCCTTATCAACAGCGGATCTGGTCCTGTGCGCTGCAGTTAAATCGCGGGGATGGAACCGGGCATGGTTAATAGAAGTTAGTTATTCCGGCGATCTGTCCACCCACAGACCTGACCTCAGCCTGTCATCGTCTCGGCTAAGCCTGCGCGACCGTATTGCACAAGGGTATATAGTTATGTTTTACCATATATCCGTTAGTTTCGTGTGCTTCTGTCCTAACAAGGACTGTCCTTAACATAGACATTGTTATATAACTAATATAATATAACTGAATTATACATTGGACATTTATTTGCATAGGGTCATTTGAGTGGGACCTAAAAAATCGAGGCTGCTCAAAACCAAGTTCAACTGGAAATCGTACCTTTAAAACCGCGTTAGATTAAAATCTCAAACACGCTATGCCTCACATTTTCTAAAAGGCTCGCCACAGTTCATCGCTAGAGAAGCTGTACAATATTTTCGGTTTTTATTTACATCTGTTGATTTGTTCTTTAAATTTTACAGCTAAATATAGGTGTAAAAACATCACTAAATATAGCTAAGGGACAAGTAATATAATCGCTTGTTATGCAACGTCAGAGAAGCCAGCAGTGTGTTTCACACAAGATAAAGCATCGGAAATATATTATTAAAAATAAAAGTGCTCAAAAACGCAGATACATGGTATTTTCATTGTTACTGTGCAGCTCAAAACCCATATCCCACTGAAATGTCAGCATCTGAAGACCACAAGGAGCAAACCTTCCTTTAACTGTAAAAGGCACTGGAATGAGGCAGAAAGACGCTGACAGACAGAATAACTAGTAGGTATAACAGATAACGGAAACGTAGCCAGCCCATACTGGAACTGCGCGGATTCCGCTTGCTGACTCATGCGGTCATACCCGCGACAGCAAATGTCATAAATTGTCAATGTTGAGGATTTAATCTGCAGGACTCTCAACGACACATTGTGATAAGCCTATATATACAATCCGAATACAAATAATGATTATAATACTATGCTATACTCCAAGATGAGCAGTTACAGGATGGGTGTGAATAGGACTTTGTATTTTTAGAGTAAATGAAATCAGAAAATATGCGTAACCACTGTGAAAGTATATTACATAAGCAAATTATTTATTGACATAAAAGTGTCTAAATGTGCAGGATCAGAGAACTTGCCAGGTAAACAGCAGGTAAACATTTACGTTCGCTTTCATTATCGTGTATAACACTACTACTTAACTTCGAACCATGCCGATTTGTCGCAATGAATGCAAAGACCGCTGGAACCACAGCACCATGGGAAGAGGTGGTGCAAACCGACTCGTCGGTCTGAGCCAATTAAGTAAGACCAGTGTAAACACAAGTGAATCCATTGGTCAATGGTGAAAAGGGGCGGAGTTACCTTGGAGGGATACCCCAGTACTAACGCGCCAAGTTTAAGTGTGGTTTGTAATTTTAGGAAACACCCACTAGATGGAAACATTTCCACACAAATGAGCGACGTGGCTGCATAGACCCTTTGTCAACGTACCAACAGAGGTGTTCACGAGTCACAAAATTAGAATCCTAGTCAAGTCTGAAGTCTCCATCGTGGTTCCAATTTAACATTACTATTTATAAAAAATGTAACCACTTACAGTATTTGTATTTTTCTATCAGTAACTGATGTGACTAAATGGGAATCACCACTCTCACCGTCTCATAGTTCCTTAGGCTTATATACATTTTCAAAGTAATGGCTATTTCAAATGGCTTTGAACCAATAAGATTTCTCCAAGAACCTAATGTAGATTTTAAAACCAATACTTTCTCAAAATAACATTATGAGGAAGACATCCCTTGAGCAGAACAGGTAAACTTTAATCAGTGTGAACAGTGACAAACATAGCCAAAAGAGGGTCCAAACTTGGCAACAACAGACAACTATGTACACACACACACACACACACACACACACACACACACACACACACACAGACCTGTACTCATATCTTATTGGGGACCGTCCATTCATTTCTATGATTCAATAATGCTGACAACCTTAACCCCTACCTAGCCCATGTTCAAAAGTTAAATCTATGTGTGCAGTCATGCTGCTCTTTTAGTCACAAGAGAGCCAAAAATGTTTATGCGTTTTTTTCCAGATTGCGGGTGGCCTGCGCCTCTAAACCCCACGATGTGCAAAGTTCGACTGTAGTACTGAGTGTACTGAGTGTAATGTGTGTACTGAGTGTAATGTGTGTACTGATTTTTATCGTTGAACTATGAGGTCACTGAGGTCCAGGGGTTGGTAATGGTTTTAAGAGCTAAAAATAAAATTTGACGCTAAATTTTCACCTGAATTAAAAAAAAAATCAGCAGTTGAAAATGATGTGCAGTTTTAATTTGGTTCAAAAGTGTTATTAATAGTGTCTGCTGAGAAAGACAGATAGAACATGCAGTATCAGCATGATAGAGGATGCGCGTACAAGCGCACGTCACCGACAGCAGTTGGAATACAAGTTGTGTGCATGTTATCAGCACTATGAAGGCAGTGTGTCATTTGGTAAGACAAAACAATGATCATTTTCTGTAACAAATGGCCCAAACGAAACGTAACGAAAGCCCCCCTAAAATAAACCTAGCGACGGCCTTTGTATGAGATGTTAAAGCGTAAGCTAGGCTACTCCAGCCATGTTAGAAGTTGGCTTTCATTTATATTACGCCTGAATGGGCTAGATTAGGGTAACTAACGTTTCACACAATGTCATTTATAAAAAAAATAATAAACATCTTATGAAGGGGACAGTATTGGTAATATTGACCACAGAAACATATCAAAGCCAAATTTGGATATCAACACAAGTGTATTTGATGTTACCTTGTAATGGTGTATTAATATCAAGCATTTCTCTTTCATTTTTTTTGTTTATATAAGGTTACAAATAACCATTAAATTATATACAAAAATGGCCTGTATGCAATGTGTGACTGATGAGACCCAACCCCCACCACCCCCACCACCTCTGGGCCCCGCACTTCACTATTTTTCAAACCCTGGCTACAGCCCCGCTTTGAACACAAGCCTATCACGGTGTGTATCTGAATGGCCTGGATGAGGACTATTTGTGGATTAAGATGTTCCCATTTCCATTAAAAGGTGTAATACAAATGTGTGGTTGAAAGGTTTTGCGTGTGTATATTTGGGTCTGTTGGGCTCCCACAAACTCACACTTTATTTAATTATTTGATGGCTTAGCGACGTAATGACACACAAGTCCACAGAATACATTATACTAATTAGTTTAAATAGTGTGTCCTTGTTCATTTTCCCCCCAATAAAGTTTATCCCCCCTTTTCGTAAATGTGTACCGAAGGTCCTGGTTAGGTGTTTACTTTTAAATATGACAATAACCCACTGGGTATGACATAACTGACAGTGCACCTGAAAATGTCAACACTAACTAAATGTTTCGTTTTTACTTTCATTGTGTTTGGTAAAGTAAGAATTAATGTACAATAATCCATGCTGCCCTCCATCCCTCTCTCTCTCTCTCTCTCTCTCTCTCTCTCACACACACACACACACACACACACACACACACACACACACACACACACTTTTCTATACACTGGAGCATTCCAGAGACTTGGCTGCACATAAATCAGCGGTGTCAGTTTCCATGGATAAAAAGGTACAATTGATTCCCATGCCAAAGAGAATCTACACAGGAAAGGACAATGCATCTTTTAACTTTGCCTTTCCAATTCGAGAGATTGGTGCAATATATTTTTTCTTCTATGCAATAAGTTTTTAATTAGAGGCTGAAACTGAGAGTCTGGAGATTTTTGAGGTCAGTAAAGACTAGTGTGGTGAGGCCCAACTATAATTTTTCTACAAAGGACATATTGTATGCTCATTTTTGTTATTAATAAGCATGAAATGTATGTGTAAGGACTTACATAAATACTTATGATCATTTCAAAGCAGATTTTTGGATGAAAATGATGAAACGGTTAGAACTTATCCAATATCAGAAGGAAAAACCTTTTGAATGATACTGGAAAACGTTTCATTCACAAATTCCCACTCTTCAAATGCCATTCTGCCCTTCAGTTCCTGGATGTTGCCCATGTATAAACAAGGGCCACGGCTCTTGACGCGATCAGCTGATGATACAATCCTGGCCACATCTAATTAACAGCTGCTTTTGGGCTAGCTGGCAGCCAAGTGGTCCAAGAACCAGACTTGTGACTGGATAGTTTCTTTCAGATTCAGATCCCAGAAACATGGATATAAGTGTAAACTTTTCAGAGACTTTGAGAATTGTATTAACTTCTGACTAATAATTTGTCTAAATAAAGCATTTTATCCATAGTGACTTTCACCGACTGTCAGTTTTCTATACCTGCGTGTCCTGTGCAGGATCATAGGGGTATGGAGCCTATCATGGAAGCTATGGGCACAAGGCAGTGAATAACCCAGGATGGGGCACCAAGAATGAACACACACCTTTGGTAACTATTATAGCCTGTTTGTAGACCTTTGGGGAAACATAAAAGCACATGGAGTTCAGGCAGAGACTTGAGGCAGCAGTGCTATCCACTGCACCGCCATGCCTACTTCGCTTTTTGCCATGATTTGATAAGGGGTCAATTCCAGTTAAGCATCTCTCTTGAGGGTAGAGGAGTTGAGCCCCTCCCCCTTCCACTGCCTGAGCTTCTACACCAGAGACAGTGCTCTCCTCAGCTGGGCCACAGCCAGGGTGCATGTGTATGTGCGTAGTTAGTGTAGCTTCCTGCGCACTCGGCCTGTCGCACTCCCGTCTCTTTGGGAAGCCCAGTTTACACAAGTGCATGAGAGCCTGGCCTGGCTTTGCATGCATGCACAATACAGCAACCACCCTCCAGTGAAGTCATTTCTGTGCTGGGAGCAGATCACAGTGTTCCGATGTATATATATAGTCTATAATGGAAGACTGAGAGTGCTATACATGTACGGGTTCAAAAACAGTAATGAGTGGGTTTTTGCTGGGCTATGTAGGGTACACTATGCTCTGTAATTACCCTCAGCTTTTCTTCCCCAGGACCCAGATCACAGTTATCAGGGCTGTGAAACACACCCAGCCACTCGTTATCCACTTGCCAAGCATCGAAATGCAGAGCATTTTAATTACCCC